ATACACCATAAATTATATACCTAACGATAATATATATATCATATATATTTTGTATTAAAATAATAATAACTAGAATAATCAAACATTTCAAAGATCTTAAATAATTCTTTATTTTTTTCAGAAAATCTTATTTCTTATTGTGATTTAAACCTAATTAATAAATACAAATACATAATTATAGTATAAAAATAAAATCTGATTGATCATTGGGAACGATATTAAAAAAAAAAAATAAGAAAGTGGTTGGCAATAGAATCAAAAGCGTATTAACTATAAAAGCTAAGCAACTATACATTTGTATCCCAAAAAATATTACTAATTTTTTTATTATCAACAAGCTTATTTAAAAATACATATTTTAAATATTAACATTATTCGCAAAATTAATGGTGTCAACAATATGAGATTAATTTTTACTAATTTTCAATAGTCTTTTACAATTATTGATTTATTAAATATTTATTATCAGGAGTAATTTAATATTATTCTTATGTATCTATCTGTCGATTATAGCGAATTAAACTTGAGACTTGATGCTGACGATGCTGCCTCTAATTTTAAGTTTTTTGTTTTGCCTAGTGTTGAGTTTACATAATAGCCATTTAGATTTTTATTAAGTACCAAGTTTCTTTAAAAACGTTTATGTTTCAACTGATATTATTGGTAATTCAATCAGTTTTTACTTGCAAATAGTCTCGAATTTTCACTAATTTTTAAATATATTTCATCATTACGTATTGAATGGAGGTCATCTTTAGTTGACTTAACTAAATCCATAGCTTTTGAAAATAAAATAGAAGAAGATTAAAGTTCATTAGATAAACAGTTAATGCTTTTTAAAAATTGTTTTCATAATATTTAAAATTAAAATAAATTTAAAGGAAGATATTTCTTCTAGTAACCCGGAAGCTCGTGCTGTTTGGTCACCTTGCAATGTTAAAATTGTTAAAATTTCCTTGATCTCAGAGTAGCGTTTTTTAACTTTTTGTAATTAAATTTACCAGTAAGCTCATCTAGTGTCTACTAATCTTTTTAAATGCATAACTTGAATTTTTTTGTCCTTTTGGATTTAAATGTAAAATTCATTAAAAATTTGTACAAGCCCTGAACCGTATAAATATAATATAAAAAAATATAAAAAAATCTACTACAGCTTTAACACCTTGAATTGAATTTACTAAACAGAGATTAAGACGGTGAGTATGACAGTGTACATATATGGCCTTTGGAATAACATTGGCTATTCTGGTTTGGACTCCAGAAAAGGCATCGCTCATCAATGATGCTCCATCATAACATTGAGCTATACAACGGTTCCGATCCAATTTATTTTCATCAATAATTTTCAAAATGGCATCACATCTTTTCATGTGATAACTCCTAACGTTTTTTCTTGGATAATTAAGTTTTTATCAAAAATCAAATTAAAAAACTTAACTGTTCTTTTTTACTTGAATCTTTTCTTTTTATCCACCAACACAGCATAAGCACCAAAATCACTTATGCTACTCAAAAGATTCTTTTTTATGGATGATGCAATTATATGTATTAGATCATTTTGGTAATCATGACTTGTACAATGACTATACCTTGATTGTAATTTTTTTTATCATTTTATCGTCATCAAATGATTCAAGTGAATCAATGAGATTGCCTTTATTTGATGAATTAGTTTTTTCGTCATGTCCACGAAATTATATTCCTTGTTTTCCCAAGAATAAAGTAGTCTTAAGTAAAAATTATACATGTTCTCGATTTTCTTCAATTTTTTGTAATCTAGAATGAACTAATAAGTTATTAACTGATTTATCATTTTGTTTTGTATTCAAATATAGATTCCACTTCCCAATACTAGCTTTATGATTTTCACTTAATGCATGCTTCCTAAAAGCTTTTACTTTATACGACCATGAGTTGAAAATTTTATTAACAAATACATAATTTCCTAAATGTTGACCACGTGTAAGTGCACTCGAAAGAAAATATCTACACGGGAAGCAATATAAATAAATAAATTGCATTATTAGATACTGAGTATTCAATCTAATTAAATAATGAATAATAATTTGCACTATAAGATCTATTTTCAGAATTTCTTGTATATATACTAATTAAAGGCTGTAGAGGCTTTTGATCTTTAGACTGAGAAATATTCAATACCTAAATACATTTTTATTACATTTTAAATTAATATATGAGTTTACACTTTTTTTAAAAATATATTTAGATACCTTTTGTGAAATATTCTCAAATCCAGAAATTTCTTTGCTCCTATTGATACCTACATCAGTTTCAGATATACATTTATTTATACTGCTGTCAACAATCAAATTATCATTCTCATTAGTTACAGCAGAATTGTTACTATCCTGTAAACATAGCTGGGGCGAGGGAGGGCATTTATTTTATTTACACACGAGCCCAAGTTAGTGTAGTTGTGGCACTGACCATCACAGTTATTTAACTCGAAAAAAATATTAATTCTTTTGTGTACTCATGACAAAATTGTCATCATCCAATTGTACAAGATAAAATTAAGTATTTCGAATTCATATTTTACTCACTTTAACTGTAGGTAGTTGCATTTTGGGTTTTTTAGCCAAACATATCATTTAAACTATAACAGACAAAGACGGTTTAGAGCAATAATTTGTTTTTTTGTCTCTTAAACGAGCAGCCCCTCTCTTTCTTTTACTTTCCTTATTAGAATTAATGTGGCTCATAATGAAGACAATTTCAGAAAGTATATTTGATTAACAAAAATAAATTAAGAAAAAAACTCAGTAGTTGAGTCGTAGTTGAGAAACCAATTATAGTTATAATACTTATTATAGTTATATTGTCAGTTATCAATGTTATTGTGATATAACAAAATAATTCTTATCATATATCGAACACTGCCCAGGCTCCTGATACCAGCTATGGTAGTACGATCGTTGCGTTGTGTTACGTTTCAATGCATTCCGTTCCTATAATTCTGTATAATGTATACAATATACATTTAAATGTTAACGTTAATATTTGAAAGTGATGACACTGATAAAAGTTATGAGCCACCCATAGATATATTTTTCTTTCTCTATCTTTAATATCTAATTGATGTATATCCCATTATTTATAAAATATTTTTATATTATAATCTTATATTATATTTTAATTAATTAATTCAATTTAACTCTAATAAATCAGGCATCTGCGCTACATGAAATTAAGACAGGCTAATTATGATACTGGGAAAAATAGGGCAGCCAATGCATACCCTGCGATACTCCAAATGGTGCCCGTGCTGTCGGGTGTAGTGTTCTGCATGGTCCGATCTTATTGTATAAAAATAAACGAAGGATCGGTTCGGTCCGAATCCATATTTTTAAGAAAGATTTCGATCCTGTTCTGATTTAAACTATACTAATTTCAGTTTAGTCTGGTCTCAATAATCAGATCGGATCTGTTGTTCGGTATTCTGTCTTTAAATTCATAATATATACACCAATCTTTTTATTTATTATTACTTACTATATTCGTGAAGAGTTAGAATTGCATCCGGAGTATATGGTTCGATAAATAAAACACAGGAATATCTTTTTTGGTTAGCGAACATTTTTGGTATTAAAATTTTTATACATTTTGATTTGAATTGCGGTTTTAAAAATTAATTTAAATAAGGGTTTCGGTGAGGTTCCGATGCTCAATATTCAAAGGGTTTCGGTTCTGAAACCGGTTCATTTCAGTACGGTTTTGTTTTGAATGTCTTTATAAAATTTTTCAGCATCACATGGTATCTTAAAAACTTTAGTTAATTTAATAACATCTTCCTTCTTTGTTAATGTGACGTGAATATGCATAAATAAGATATTAGCTTGGCCAATAACTTCATTATTACTATATCTTGTTATAATTCATACTTTAGTTAGTTAACCTTCATATGACACATTACACATATCCAAGAATTATAAGATATAATGATTAAAATCGTCATCGTCCTCGTCCTCGTCGTTATGAAAACGTACAAAAAAACAACGGTTTTAGTATAAACAAACAATTTATAAATATACCGATTATTTTAAAAATAAACCATTTCACGTATGAAAAAATGTATATTAGTATTTATTTTTTAATTTAATTTTATATATATATATATAAATATATATATATTATTATTTATTTTTATATAATATTTTATCATATATCTAAACGATTGTTATACATATTTAAAAAACTGAAAAAAAATCTATTTCGATAATTATATACAATATTTTGATATTTTATAATTTTTCTTAAAAAAAATAGAAACCTACGAGAATTTAAGTAGAATATTTTTTATAGAAATATTTAAATCTATCATTAAGTTCTGTGCATGTTCACCTAAATCCTTTACTTTCTGGATTAAATAAAAACAAAATGAAAACTACCTTCTTTAGCTAAATTTTAAACCTAATAAGGCACCGAAGGGATTAAATGAAACTTTTCAAATTTCATCTAAATTATTTACATATACGACTTAAATAAATTAGGGGATACTGTATTAAAAATATACACTAAACAAATAAGGATTACCCTAATATGTATATAAATATTATTATGTGATTGTGTGTTATAATATTTTTTATTAACATTAAAAGGAATGGCTGACAACTACCTTTGACCAGACGATGAAACTGCTCTTGGGGATCGATCGCCAACAAGTCACTCATCTGATACACACAAACATAACAGAGTGACGTGTCTTACAACGTCTAAATCATTATTTCTTTTTATTTATTTATTATTATTTTTTTTTTTTTTTTTGTACTAAATACAATAACTATAGTAATTGTTGTGAATTGATTTAAATTAATTATTTTTTGTATTTATTTAATTTGAATCGATGTGAAACTGTAGCTACAAACTTAGTAGTAGAGTAATAATATATAACCTAATATATAAAATAATATCTTTATAATAATTTTAATATATAACTTGGTAATGCAGTAACAGAGTAAGGTAATAAAATCCAACTGAAATAAAATTCAAGCAATACAACATTTTTTGTTATTAATTAAACGACAAATAAAATATTCACGAGTTAAAAAAATGATGACTCCAACACAAGTGATGCCTTGGGTCTTAAGGTAAATGAATCCGTTTTAATAACATCCCTATAAATTTTACATAATTACAATAAAAATCAATATTTTTGTTAATTATATGAATTATATTAAGTCATTTCATACCCAGTAAATTGTTCCGCAGTAATGCTGGCAACTTTCACTGTCATTTTATAAGGAAGAAAAAATTGAAACTTCCTGAGATTGATGTTTTCCATTTCACTACCCATGTTTATTACAACAAAATATGATTTGAAAATGTTGTTACTTCTAAAAATTAAAATCAATACTAATAATTGATATAATTAAAGATTTAAATGAATAATAACCAAACATTTACGATGATTTACCTGGAAAAAGCCAAAACGTATTTGGATACTTCATAAAGTTTTACATTTCCTGTACGAAAAACGTCCAACTTCCTCAGCTCTACAAGTTGTTTAAATATATTTAAATGACTACGAGTAGTAGGAATGCTTTGGGTTTCGACATTCAAGGTAACATAATTTGGATTTACTGGTAGCCATGTTTTGGTTTTATTAGAAAACCCTGCTTGAGGTCTTGAGTTCCACTGGAATGGCGTACGACTTACTTCTCGAGCACCAGAAAGACCCAACCTTTTAGACATACTATCAATGAGTTGATCTTCTCTCAAATATGTATCTGTCATTCCCAATTCATCACCCATGTAGACAACAGGTGTTCCAGGTAAGAGCATTTGAATCATGCAAATGCCGTCTATCGATTCGTTTTCATTTAAGGAAGTTGCACGCCTAGAGTCATGATTTCCGATCTATAACGTAATTTCCATCACGTGAATTAATTATTGTTAATTATATATTGATACTGCAATGTCATAGAAAGTTATGTATACATATTCAATGGAAATATTTTAAAATTTTTTATGAAAAAATTAGGAAAAAACTATTAATAAAGTAAATTTGATGCATAGTAAATTTATATTTATACTTACGGTCCAATTAGGCCATCTATCAGATGAATATTGAGATAAAATTTGAGAAATTACTTTGATATAGTTACTAGCTGGACTATGACTTAAATATATAAGAAAACCGTTAAGTAAGATATGACCACCAGGATTCGTTGAATTTCCGTAAAACATCATTGTCCTTTCTATGTCATCAATGGTTTCAATTAACAAGACTCTGTAAATAATTTTTTCTTGTGTATTTTTAATCATAATTATTTGACATTTTTGATTGTAAATTTGACGAACCTCGTTTGGCCATCCTTTTTTTTGTATTCATCAACAACAGATCTCCAAACACTTAACTCAACTAAGGATTCATTTAGACCTATAACAACTCCATATCTTTCTGTGTTGTTCATAGGATTTTTCATGTCCATCAAATTTTGCTTCTCGTATAAGTGTGTGATGGCATCCAATCGAAATCCATCGACTCCTTTATCGATCCAGAACCTTATTAAATTCTAAATCAAAGGATGATAAAATGAAATCATAAAATAATGAAATCACGATAAATTCTATACATTTTATATAGATCCTTTATAATTATCTTATCCTAAATAATTACTTTTATTTCTTCGCGGACTAAAGGATTCCAAAAATTTAAATCTGGCTGTTCTTTATGAAATTGATGTAAATAATATTGATTTCGCTGTTCATTCCATTCCCACATACATTGTCCGTCGTAAGTCAACTAAATTGTATATATAACATAAATTAGTTTGAATGTTTTATTTTTATAGCTAAGAAGGATGAGTTAATGCATTGAATATCCTGTCAACTTTTTATTAATTTATTAATATATGAATTGTAAGATCGTATCAAATGTATTTATCAAAAACTAAAAAAACTGTTAGAAAAAAATTGCAGTTATTATTGAAATGGGAGAAAAAAAAAACCCTCGAAAAACGCATGCATTATTTTTAAGGATTTATCATATATGCATAGAAAATATTTTTTCTAGTTGTGAAAATAATTATTTTGTTCGGTGAATTCAATTTGAAAAACAACCATTGAACGAAATATATAATTAAAATTTTTACTTCTTTCATACCCAATTGTTTGGAGGTTGCCTGGTGCCATTAATATATTTTGCATCGGCCCATATATAATAATCGGTAAATGGTTCTATTTTTTGCACAGATTTAATAAACCATTCGTGCTCATGACTTGTATGATTAGGTACCAGATCCATAATTATTTTTATTCCTATACATCAAAATACATTATTTTCATTAGAATACTCGTACAAAGAATATATACAGACCGTTTTCGTGAAGTTTTTTTAGTAGTTCATCGAAATCATGCATAGAACCCATTAATGGGTCTATACTTCTGAAGTCTGTTATGTCATAACCCAAATCGAATCCTGGAGACGGATATATCGGAGTTAACCAGACTGCACCTATTCCCAAATCTTTGAGGTACGGTATGTTTTCAATAACACCTTAAAAGTTAAAATGTTTTACAACATTATAATTTTATGAATACAATTTATTACTTAAAATGCAATTTTTAATTTGATAGATTTTAATTATTTTCACTATAAATTATTATTAAAATCTTGATTTTGGAACCATTGAGTAATATCAATATTTCTATTTCTAATTGTTTTCTTCTTTAGAAGTCAACCCTAAGTTTGGTTTTACAGCATTCTTCCATGTTCTTTCCACTCTTCCTTGTTACTGGCCATTCTCTTCAGTTCATTGTAGATTCTCAGTTTAGCATTTTTAATACCTTTATTGATTAGCGTTGTTCTAGAACGTCTTCTAATTCTTTTGGTCTTATATTTGTCCTTCCAGTATTTTATGGTGTAGTTCCTCCTCAGCATAGGTGGTACTACGGGAGGGGCAAGGTAGGCGGCTGCCCCCCCTGCGAGTTATTACTCTCCCTATACATTTCAAATATTGGTTGGTAACCCCTCATATTACAAGCTTATTTAGAGTCTGCATGGTTATAAGTAATAATATTATTATCTACAATCGTGGGAGCCATTCATGTAAATATGCTGATAAGATTTTTTGCGTCAACATTTTCAATATTATTATTACAATTTATTTTTATCATTGACAAATCATGAACCAATATTATTACTTTATTATTATTTATATCAAAAACGTTTTGTATGATTTTATACTTTGATTTGACTTGAGTTTTTTAGATAATATTAATTATAACAAAAATTATGAACTCAAATCAAATTAAAAAAATAAAAACTTAATACGACTTTTTCATTCAAGAACCATCATAGGCGGCTCTACGAGGTGTGCCGGATGTGCCTTGGCACACCCTAATGTGAATAATATGAATAAAAAAATCGAATAATTACAATTGAGTATATATGTGCATACACATTAATTAAATTTTAGTTTTTTGTAAGTAATATTGCAAGTGTTCAGAATAAGTCTGAAATAATAATTACGTGTATATTTTACCAATCGTTATTTTACATCATTAACAAAGCTTTTACTTTTAGAATTTAAATCATAATACGGTTTACATGTATGTATTTATAGCCTCCCCTTTATATTTTGAAAAAACAACTAAAAAATGACAGGGCACACTCAAATGTATCACTCTGGGTCCGCCTATGAGAACTATCACAGGCAAATTGTGGTAAGTCAATATTTTAACATTTTATAAGATAAAATAATATATATGTAGGTATTTGTAAGTGTATTGTTCATTTTAAAAAATAATCTTATTTGAAATAAGTTAAAATAGTTATCAAAAAAATACTTTTTTTATAGTATTTCTAATCTAAAGATTTAGACAAAATAGTATTAATATTTTACCTAAAGTATTTCCTGCCCCCCTGCCAAGAGGGTCTAGTACCACCTATGCTTCTCAGTACAGTACAGATATCTGAACTGAATGCATGTTTGTTTACCAACTAGTTCCGTTATTGTGTTTATTAAATAAAGTCAAAGTAAACTCAGTGATTATACAAACCTGTTTCTTTCTATAATCGTTTTCTAAAATTGTAGTATAATATTATTTTAAAAATGAATTCACAAATTTCTAAAAGAGATACACTCATCAAAAAATCAACAAGCTCAAGTCATTCAAATCAACATCAACCAAAATAACCAACGTTATCTGACATCTGGAATTTGTTAATTTCTATATAATCTAAGGTATCTTCTCACGACTCTCATTTTAAAAATATTAACAGTAAATTATTACGTTTAGAGAATAACTACAGCTCTATGAAAGCGTTGATGGACGATTTTCATCTAGAGTTGTCTCAGTTAAAAACAGACCAACATGCTTTAGAATCTGAATTATCTTCGATTCGACAAAAAGTTGCTAAATTTGAAAATACTCAAACATCATCGCATTTACTCGATTTTAATAATATTTATAATGAGTTCCACGATAGAATTACTAGAGAACAAAATATCCTTATCTTTAATGTACCTGACTCTGCTCATGAATTATCTTCTGATTCTGAATTAACTGTCCAGGAATTACTTAAAGATTTATCTTTGTCTAGTATAAAAATTGTACATACTAGACGTTTGAGAAATGTTGGACAAAAACCCCGCCCTTTCTTATTAAAATTATGGACATTCTCTGATGTAAATAATGTTCTCAAATCCAAATCTAAACTACGTCACATTGATTGTTAACATCAAATTTCGATTAGTGAAGATAAAACAGCTACCCAATAAGCTTACATGAAGCAATTACGTATCGATTTGGCCAGAAAAAGAGACAGTGGCGTACAAATTGGTTGATAGTATATAACAAGGGCACTCCATTCCTGATGAAAAAAAAACTAAATTTTCCCCGATCTGGTGATTATGTAAATAAAATTTATTTTAATATTAATTGTAATTCAACTTCGAGTTGTAATTTTAAATCGTTAAAAAAAAAATAAGCATTGTAAATCGCTAATAGGTTATTATTAAAATACACGTATTTATTCTAAATTAAATAATATTTGATTGTTTGTATCGTATTCTAACTATGATTATTATGTAATTATTGAAACGTGGTTAAATAGCAAGGTATTAGATAATGAACTTGGTTTTGTACACTATAATATCTTTCGTACTGATTGAGGTCCTCATAATAGTAACTGTGATCGTAGTGGTGGTGTAATGATTTGTATTCATAATAAATATCACTCATAAATAATAATATAAAACTACAATTTACCCGGCTCTATTTTTACTAATGATAATACTGGTTTATTTTTTGGAGTCCACTCAGTACAAGCACAAATTATTTTTAATTCCTTCTCCTTTTTAAATTTGTATCAACTAAATAACACTGAAAATTCAAAAGGGTCTATACTTGATTTAGTTTTCACAAATATATCTAATTTAGTAGTTTACAACGAATTGAACTCTTTAGTTAAAATAGACTCTTATCACCCATCTATATCAATGACGCATTATTACTCAGATAATACTATAAACTATAAAAATAATGATAAAACTCACTTTGCCTATAACTTTAAGCATGCTGAATTTCGAGTAATATCTTTAGCCTTAGGACGGGTTGATTGGAACATTTTAATTGGTAGCGTAAATATTGATTTGGCCATTTTTAATTTCTATGAAACTCTGTATTGTATTATCGATAAATTTGTCCCTAAATATTATACATGTAAAAACAAATTTCCTCCTTGGTTTAATCATCAACTAATTGCTTTAATAAAAAAAAAAAATGCAATGCATAAAGCATTTAAATTATCTAACGATTATCAAACATATAATAACTTCTCAGAATTAAGGACTAAATGTAAACTTCTATCAAAATAATGCTATAAAGATTATATTGTTTGAACTCAAACTAACTTAAGATTAAACCCTAAACAATTTTGGAATTTTGTAAAAACTTGAAGTAAAGATAAATCTTTCCCTAATATTATGTCTTATAATAATATAAGTTATGAAGATGATAATTCTATTAGTAATATGTTTGCAAAATATTTTAATACTTTCTACTTTGATACACATATTAGCAAAATTGCTTCTCATGCTTATTCGAATACTTATAACAGTCAATTAAATATTTCTATCATATTTATTTCATTACAAAATGTTTATAAAGCATTAAGTACCATTGGTAATAATTATAAAGCAGGTCCTGATTTATTACCTGAGATATTATTTAAAAATTGTTTTAACGCATTACCCCGTCCTATTCAAACCCCATTTCAATTTATTTCTCTCATCTGGTGTTTATCCAATTTTTTGGAAATCCAGCTTTATAAATCCTATATTTAAATCAGATGACAAAGCATAAGCTACGAATTATAAACCTATTTCAAAACTTAGTGTCTTGCCCGAACTTTTTGAAAAACTATTAGAACCTCTATTATTTACAACATTTAATCCTATTTTAATTAATGAACAACAAACCTCTGTTTCTACACTAATATTTTGGAATTTATTAAAATTGGTGGCCAAATTGATGCTATTCATACAGATCTTAAAAAAACATTCGATTCAGTAAACATAAACTTATTAATAATCAAGCTTCGAAACTTAGGCATGGTTGACCCCCTTTACTCTTGGCTTGAATCTTATCTCCGTGATAGAAAACAGCAAGTCATAATTAATGGTAATATTTCCCATAAATTTGAGGTCCACTTGGGCGTACCTCAGGGTGGTCATCTATCTCCATTATTATTTTTAATATTTTTTAATGATATCAGATTTTCATTCAATCACTGCTAATATTCTCTATTTGCGAATGATCTAAAAATATACTATATAATAAAAGATCGGAATGATTGTTTAAAATTACAAAACGATTTAGCTGATTTGTCGTGATTTTTGGCATATCATAACCTTAGTTTTTTTCCAGTTTATTTTTAGGTTGTGTACTTCAAAACACTTCTTCATCACTTATAATGCAGTTTCAATCTCTTTTTCGTTTTTAGTTATTAAAGCAATATTATCAGCGAATATAGGAATTTGTATAATTATTATAATGACTTAAATTACAACAATTAATATGTCTTTATACATGTCTATACATTATAATTTTTTACAATCCCTATTCTCAAAAATAGAATTTTTAATTCAATATGAACACGAACTCAATACTATCTATAATAGGGCCTATAAAATAAATTTTAATTGAAATTTTAGAAATTATTTAATATTAAAAAAATTCATAAGTATATTATAGAAAAATGTTGCAGTATAAAATATCAAAATAATATATCTAACTAATAAGCTGGAATTTTAAGACATAATACTAATAATGTAAAAATTGCTTTTTAAACCAATAATATCAAACCTATATATATATAATATAACTAAAAACTGCACATCAAATTCCCTTATTTAAAAAAGGTTGAATTTACAAACTTCAATGTTTTCATATGGGTATAACTAATATAAATTTTAAAATTAGATACAACTAACACATTTCTGAAATAAAATTAAAAAAAATAAATAATCTTCTTATCAAGCCTGGGCATTAACGAGTTAAATTCCTATGCAAACTCTTATGGCAAACCGCATACCACGTGTCCCCTCCTTCAAAAATGGACGATACCCTCAACCATCCTCCTGGTTATAGCAAGCAGTCATTGAGTAACTATTACTCAGTATAGTTGTAATCGTGAGCGTGTGATTGTTACGTACATATTTTGATCAAAATATATTGTACTCAAATTTCAAAATGAATAGGTTTGTAAAAAGCTTAATTAACAAATAATGATGGTGTTAATGTAAATGACAAAAATTTAAATATTGAAATTATTATTAAATAATCAGCTTCAAGAAGTGATACAAGTTTACATTTAAAAGTTAAACGTAAATATGCTGATGGTTATTTGTGTTATTTATTTACGTGGATTGGTAATTTTGACTTTCATTTACTTGTGTGCATTATTTTTAGCGAATAATTAAGTATTAAAGTAATGTTACCCAGTAAATTTAAAAGGAATTAAATAACAACAAAACATTCGGGTGAGTCATTGAAAACCATATTTTGAACGCCTTTTAAATTCAAATAAAAAAAAGCTATATATAGTGTGATAAAAAGAGTCACTTTATCAGATAAAGATCATGAAGTATCATTTAAAGTTCCAGAACTGTTTGTTAAAAATATGATCTCGCAAATTATTAGCAAAAAATTAATAGGACCTGCCTGTTTAGCTATAGTTGAAACAATTTTGGATAATGAATCTAGAGATTTTATATATAAAGTGCTACTTTTTAACAATAATATTAGCCGCCGAATAATTTAAATGGATGATGATAATAATGAAATTATTTTAGAAAAAATTAATTAATAAAATAATTAATAAATAATTAATAATAATTATATATAATTAATAAATAATTATAAATAATAATAAATAATTAATAAAAATTTCACTACAAATAGACGACAGTACCGACAGAATTTCTTAAGCTCAATTATTAGGTTTTGACAGATTTGTTGATAATTCTAAAATTGTTGAACAATTTCTATTTTACAAACAATTAACGTCAACAACTGGAAAGGACATATTTGACGTAATAAATATTTTTTTTGAAAAATCTGTATTGTAATGGAATTATTGCTGTGGTGGCTTAACTCTTTTATCTTTACCAATACGTTGGAGCTCCGTCTATGACCGAAGAGTATAAAGGTTTTTGTTCTCTTGCTAAAATTTAAAATTTAGCTCCGATTATTATACATTGTTTAATTCATCGAAAAGCTCTGGTTGCAAAAACATTAAGAAAAAAAATGTTAAAAGTTTTAAATAGTGTTGTTAAAATTGTGAATTAAATTAAATCTAGACTATTGAAAACAAGAGTTTTTGAAACTATATGTGAAGAAATGGGTTCGGATCATAAACATTTATTTTTACACACAGACATAAAATGTTTATTACGAGGTCAAGTATTTAATCGAGTTATTGAAATAAAAGAAGAATTAGAATTATTTTTTAACTAGAAAATCTCCCAATATTCAATTTTTTTTTTTTTATTTGAAAGCTGGTGTGATACTTTAGCATACTTTGCTGATATTTAAAAAAAATCTAAATGATCTTGACACGTCAATGCATATTCGCCAAGAAACAATTTCTTCGACGAATAAAATCAAAAGGCTTAAAAAGAAAATTGTGTTTTGGAAATCTTCAACAACTAAAGGTGATTTTTCAAGTTTTCCAACATTTTCAAAATAAATGGGAAAATTCAATTTTAAAGAACTATAAAAACTTATAATCGAACACCTTACATTACTCGAAAAAAAAATTTAACACCATTTTCCGGTATTAATAAAATCTGCAGATTGGTCGTGTTGTTATTTGATTTCACAAACAATGTAAATAAAACTCATCTTACTATGACTAAAAAAATGAATTCATTGATATGAGTTTCAGTTCTAAAATCCGAATATTATTTAATAGTCAGAAAAATAACATCGATTCTTTTTGGTTAAGATTAGCTTCAGATATCCAGCTATTTTTCAAAAAGCGATAGGTACTATTGTTGTTACTATTTTCCACATCATATCTCTGTGAACAGTCTTTTTCTGCTCTGAACAATATAAAAACTAGTAGAAGAAATCGTTTGAAAAATATTGTAACTGATTTGTGTATTGCTGTTTCAAATTTTTTACCTTCAATACAGGATTTTTTTAAAACACCTGACTCAATTACCCCATTAAAATTGTATTATTTAATAAATTGTATATTAATATGACAGTATGTATGTATATTATTATTTATTTTTTATTAAAGTGTACCGAATTTTTTTTTAAATGATCAAGTGTGCCGTTAGGTATAAATATTTGGGAATCCTTGCATTAGAATAACCTTAAGATAATCATAAACCATTTAGAAAGGATATAGAAACAAAATTATTAATGAATAAAATATTAAAGAATTAATAGAAAAATTAACTATAAAAAAAACAATGATAATTATTTACGAATTATGTATTTAACTATGGAACACTTCGTGTTCGATTTAAAATGAAGTATACAATATATATAAAAATATTTCAACTGATTCAACAAAATTTAAATTTGTATTTACTTACCTCGCAAGTCTCCTATACCATTGTCCGTCGTATCCTTAAATGACCGAGGGTAGATTTCGTAAAAAACAATTTTTTGCCACCAATCTAATTTTTTAGGTTTCTTTATGTTCAATTGATTTGTACTTAAATAATCCAATAATTTGGAAACATCTGATAAAAATTGAAATATGTATGTACAATTATAATTAATTATAATTATAATTATAATTATATAATTATTAATTATAATTACAATTATAATTATGTATTATTATAATCATTGATCTTATGTATACCTTTTATTATATCATTTTCATTTGTGTTTCCAATATACTGATGTTTCTCGGAATTTTCATTCTTGTTCACATTCATATACAAATCATTAATGAAAAAATTGTCGTTTTCTACTCCATACGATTCTGCATTTCTTATTCTTAAACTTAATAATGTATAAATCACAATCACTGTTAAAAACATTTTGGATTTTAATAAAATGAGACAGTAAGTTATGAAATTATATGAAGAACTGTACGTCTAGTTTTTATATACTTATTGAAATGTATAACAAAACATCTCTATTTAATATAATCCTTAAATATACTAAAAAATTTAAAAAATAAAAAATAAATAACTGTTGAAGTATAAACTAAGTACTTGAATTATCAATTGACTTTAAATCTTTTGTTTAAAGAGTTTACATACCTACCAAAATATACGATGTTTTTACTAATTTTAATTATTTATTATTGTGCTAATTATCATTGTTCTATTTTTTTTTATATATCCATGGTATAGCTTCAATGATTTAAATTATTAGCTAACATAGATTTATTAATATTTATACTGTTTTATCCATGATAATCTTTTGATCTATATGCATATATAGGTGTTAAGTTTTATAAATCTCTATATACGCTTACGCAAGATAATAAATGATTAGTAATTTCGATCATATTAAACATTTATATAATAATTGACTAGATATCCAGAGCATGTCCCGTTTCCGCCAAAAATCCGGTTCCCTGATTTACGCATAGCTCTAGAAACGAAAAAGGTATGATTCCAGTTTCTGCCAAAATTTATTTTTGTAAAAAGACGTTTGGGAATCATGTACTATTGTTACATATTCTTTCATTATAAATTTTAATACAAGTAGTATTAATATATTAATCAAATATTTGCACAATTATATTAGAGTTTTTAAAATATTACATAATTTCATGTTATAATATGTTCATTCTATTTAATTATTTATAAAGTATAAAACAAGTGTAGGTCAAATATTATCCATAGAGTTTTGAAAAAATATATATCGTAATTTTTAAATATTTAAAAATGTCACAAAAAATATAAATTATAATACAAGTATATGTCAAGTTTCAAAAAATCATATAATTAAAAGAAACAGTTTTGACAATAGTGTACCTACTAATTTCATTGTAGTTTTTTTTTTATAAATGCGTCTTTTGTAGTTTTTAAATGGTATAATATTTTTTTGTTTTTTTTTATATTATTTTGAGTACTGTTAATTTCGATATATATATATACCTTGATAATATAATATTTAAACCCATCAAAAATCAGCATTGTTTTACCTTTTTTGCCTACAACAAATTCAATTTTGAGAACAGTAAGTAAATAAGAATGTTTAAGTGTTATTAGTCTGGTGACAGAGTATATACTGAATGGAAATATAAGAATTTAACATTTGTCAGATAATTATTGTGTACAAATTATAAATAAACTATGATATAGTGTATCGAACAGTGTATCGTTATTATTAACCGTTATTATCGACAATTATCAATAAAGAGCGGATTTTTAGGTTCTTAAAAGCTTAAAATATGATGCTAATATACTCTAAAAACTAAAATATTCTCTAAATATTCCTTAAATTTGTAAATATGCAATAGTATGATTTTTTTTTCTTAAATAATTCAATAAAAACATTAAATTACTGTTATGGGACATTCCTTTGGTAACAAGTAAATTATTTAAATATAAAAATTTAAAACAGTTCATACATAGAAGTATAAATATAATAATATTATATATAAAAAACAAAATAGTTAAATAAAAACAATGAACAATTTGTATACACCAATCCTTGGTAAAAGATAAATTATTTAAATGGAAAAAATAGATTACAGTTCCATACATAGGAATATAAATATAACTTTAAAATTTTTTTTTCCTAGAAAAATCGAGAAATTAATTAAATATGCTTTTTTGTGAACAATAATTGAATATACCTATTCAAAAATATGAAAAATAGGCTAAATATTCTCTTATTTCTAAAATATGCTAAAATATGAAAAATAAATGTTTTCCTACGAACTCTATGATGGATAAATTGTCCACATTTTTTTTCCTCGTAAATTTACATAAAGCCTATACAAATATGTAAAAATCTAAAGATCCGCTCTCTAATTATTAACAATTATTGAAAATTATCAATGTATATATTACAAATATCATTTATACATCCATAAAATATATTCAATATTGCTTAAAAATTAAAACCATTGGTTTCCAAACTTTTTTTGGCGAAAATAGCTTTTGTCAGAAACGGAAATCGTACTTTTTTTGTTTTTGGCGGAAAATTGCTATGATGAAACGGTCAATATTTTGGCGGAAACAGGTAACTCCCAATATCCATGCAAGGAATGATTATTTTGAATTTTTCAAGTCAATTTTTTTAGATACTGAAAGAAATGCCAAAACTACTTTTCTTATCATGTAATGAACATGACCGAATTTGGTTCAGTCAAAAAATCAAATACAACTCACTAATCATCGCTTCATCTAAGAAACGACATATCACGTGAACTTGCAATTTGACAAAGTAGTTTCACTAACACTGTCAATGTGCAATAAGAATGGAATTAAAATACGATATGTTATCGGAGATTAACACGTGCCTTGACTTAATTGACATGCGTTGCCCGTGTAATAATTTATCGTTGTAATACTATTAGAATTATAAATACAATCTATAATATCATTGTGTTGAACAAAAGTACGGAATCAAATGCAATGGAGCAGTGTCTTCCAACTTTTTTGTAATGACCACTCTCAAATTTACTGTTTGCTGACTACGCGACTCAACCACACTAACACCAAAAAAAAGTTATAATACTGAAGAATATTGTATTATTTATTACCAGGGCTGGAATTTGTATGCAACAGCATGTTTTTCTTGCGACTTCTGATTATTGATTTTGTCAGTTATGTCCACGAATCACGTCATGATGAGATAAATGGTGGTGATTTATTTTGCATGTTTTTGCTTATTTTGGATAAAATGCATATAATTGCATATATATCGAATAAAATGAATATTATTGCATATATCGATTATAAGATGCGTAAAATGAATGTTTTATAGTATATTTCGTAATTAATATTTTATATTCAATTCTAGCCCTACTGATTAAAGTTTAAAACTTGATTTTTTTATCAAACATAAATTTTATTTTAAATTATTTTATTTTTCAATTATATTATATTAAATCAAACAGCCAACTACTGATGTATTTCAATAAATAATTTTTTTTTTTTGTAACTATATGTTTGTGTTTATCTTAGAAAAATTTAAATGCATATTTTACAATTTTTTATTGCATGCAAATCCTAGCTCTGTTAATTACCATGGTACTGATCTGCATTGGTTGACTGGTACTACTAGCTGTGATCTTACCAATAGTAAATTTAACTATTAAAAAATCAAAAACAATATGTAAAATTTAATTACTTAAAAATGAGTGTGTAATCGTTAATTAAAACCTACTCTACCCGTACCTACTATATTAGTCTCGTTGTTCTAATTATTGCTCAACTGTACGGACAATTTACCGATCAAACAAAATAATAAAAACGTTATTGAAAATATATTGATATCCATGTCTTACATTCTACATTGCAAATTCTAAAATACAAGCGAAAATTCATATTATTCTTATACGTAGAGGTATCAAATAAAACTTAAAAAAAGAATTTATAAATTAACGTCTATAATTATTTTCATTTATATTTATTTATGGGGACTCAATTTTGGGTCGTGACTCGTTAGTTGGGAAACACTGTAAAAGAGTATAGAGAAAAATTAATATAAAAACAATGAAATAATATTATTATCTCAATTGTGTGATTTATTTTACTGTAATATTGTAAAATTTGTATTTTGTAACCGTTCCAATCTATCTCCGACTCGACTAATCCGACATGTTTGATACCAACGCCGCATAGGGATCGTAAATAACACTTGACATTAGAAGCCGTAGTCATACATGGTTATTAGGGTACACGTATACCCGCGTTACGTGTACACGTGTATTAAATCTATTACTATCTATGTTTTTAATTCATGGGTATTTTTTACTGATACAAGTGTATTTAACACCCGTTACCCGTGTACTTAATACCAGCTTGTATTTACTACCCGATAAATAAATATCAAACACCCGTTTAGTTATTAATTCAGAGTAATTAAAGGTATATTATACAATTATTCAAATATTGGTATGAATCTTGTTTGGCTTTCACAGATATTGGCAATTTTTTTTAAACCTAGGTGGATATTTCACTCTTATAAAAATGATTTTAAATTGAATACTTTATTATACCTACTTATTATTACTTAATATTTTGACTTATTCTATCATTATTTATATAAAATGTTTTCTATATATGCCATCGCTCCGGTGCATATGAATTGCGTCCCTAAATGATATTTTGTCTGAGTTGCGTTCGGTTTTCTCGGGCCATGGGTTTTTCAGCAACTGTGAATATTGTTTGGTGACAGTGCTGCTAAACTTGGACATTCAAAAAATGGGCAAAAATTCTTAAAAGATCATATTTTTATCAAAAAGATCGCACTAAAAAAATTTTTTTCGTAAATTTATGCTAATCAATCATTGTCAATAATTTATAAGTATAAATTAGTCATAAATCATACAATTTTATTATATATGACTTTATTTTTAAATTTAATTTATGTACTTATCGGTTATCGCGGCTATCTGATTATGCGGTACATTACGCTGGTAGTAGCAATTTGACACTATAGCGACTTCTAAAAATTGGCACTGTCACTGTATAATATTAATATGAAAATAATATATATTGACATATTGTACTTATAATTAGGTGTATTGTAATCAATTTTAACAAAAAATAATGTACAAATATAATAATTAGGATTTTCATAATTTATTTAAAGTAGAAAATGTTAGATTTAAAAACAAATTTATTTAATTTATAAACTCAACGAAAAAACTTAACAAAAAAAGTTTACTGAGTGATTAACACTTGCTGCATTTGCTCAGTTTATGACACTTGAACGTATATGCTAATAAAATGTTACACCGGAATACCCGTGTGGGCCGGAAGGAAAGTGAACGCTGCTGCAACGAAAACCATCAACGTGATCGTCGTTGTTAAATCATGCGAATATGCCTCACTGGTACATACATACACGTAAGGCTATTGTAATACTTATAAATATGTGTGTGTGTGT